CAAAACGGCCCGGGCCAAGCGCGGGCAGCGCTCGCGCGCCGCGCAGCCGCCTGCGGTGTGCCCGCCTCTTCGGGGGCTCCCGCAGCGGCATCTTCACGCAGCGAGCACGCAGCCCATCGCCCGGAGAGCGTCGAGGGCCGAGGTTTCCGCGCGCCCTCTGCGCAGGTCGGGTCGTGTTTTCCGCACCCCTGGGCGCCCACGCCCAGAGACCGAGACCGCGCGGGGGCGTCCGAGGGCCTTCGCAGGACTGCGGAGCACCGCAGATGCAGATGCGTCCGACCCTGTCCGTCCGTGCGCGCGCTCTGAACAGGCCCGGGGCGCCTGGCAGCACGGCGGTGCCCGCCCCGTCGGTGCTGTCGAGGGCTGTCGAGGACGCCAGCGGCGAAGCAGCGCGGCCCCCCCCCTGACAGGGCTCATTTCGAGTTTTCCGATTCGATTCGATTCGATATCGACGGGTTCCAACTCCGATTCGATTCGGATTCGGATTCCGATCTGGGATCCGATTGCTCAATGGAGGCCTACCAGCCTGCCGATGTCTACCGATTCGACTTTCCCCGACTCGGCTGCCGATTTCAGCCGATCTGATTCACTTCGATCGCCGATCCGACTTGTCGATTCGATTCTGGGCTCTCCTGCTCCTGACTTCTGAACGCGCCTATGTGGCCAAGCGTTGTACAGAGGTCTGGCCCAGATATTGGATTTTTCTGTTCCCCCAGTCGTCGCGGAAGCCCTTCCTTAGGGGGGCACTCGGGGAAGTAAGAGAGAGGAGGAGGAGAGGGAGTAGAAGGAGGACGAGGTGGGGACCTTGGGGCCCTCGTGGGCCGTCTGACGCGCTTGGAGGCCGTCTTCGGGGCCTGTCTGGGCCGCCTTGGTACCCTCTTGGGGCCGTTTTAGGGGCCTCTCGGGGCATCTTGGGGCCCCCTTGGGGCGCCTTTGCGGCCGTCTGGGAAGCCTCTTGGGCACCTCCTGGGGCCCTTTTCGGGCATTTGAGAACGACTTGTGGGGCAGAAGCTTACCAGAAGCGAAGATGTGAGTCAGCGAAAATGATTTGAATTCTAGCCCACCAGCAAATTGCAGCCACCCTGGCAGCCACCGCCTTGCTTGCATGGACGCAGTGTGGGCGCTTTCTGCCCCTGGCTCTGGCATCCACACTCAGTGCAGATTGCAGCTCACGTGAGGCGCCGCTTAGGCAGCTTAGGCAGTTTAGGTGTGCGGCTCTAGTTTGCTCCTGTTGTCAATTAGTAGGCCCGCGCCCCGGTCGCCGTTTGCGCTCTCGCCCGCGGCCGCGACCAAAAAAAAGTAACCCCACCAGCCCGTCCAGAAACGATGCCCAGAGGAGTTGCCTCGATCAGGGAAGTGGGCAGCACACAGAGGAAGGGTCCCTCAGTGGAGGCCTCCTGGAGCGGTTTGGGTGCCTCGGAGAGCTTCTCGGGGCCTCTTGGGGGTCTCTTGGGAGCATCTTGGAGGCCTCTTGGGCGCCTGTTGGGGCCTCCTGGGCGCCTCTTGGGGCCCTTTTGACGCGCTCTTGGGAGCCTTGGGAGCGCTCTTGGGGCCATCTTGGGGGACATCGATCAAGCAAGAAGCGAGCATTAGTTAGCGCTGCTCCTTCGGGAGCCCAAGCAATCGCCTCTTGGGCCGCTCTTGGAGCGCTCTTAGGCGCTATTAGGGCTGTCTTGGGGCTCTGGGGAGCCTCTCTTGGAGCCCTTTCGGGCCATCTTGGAGCCATCTTGAGGCCTCGGGATGGCCATCGGAAGCGAAAGAACGAGAAAGCCAAACACAGAATTTCCTAAGGTGTTGGCCTCTTCGGGGCCTCCTGGGGGAGCTCTTTGGCCACTGTGAGCCGTCTTGGAGCGGTTTGGGGGCATCTTGGAGCATCGTGGGAGCCATTCTGGGACATCTTGGGATATCTTGAGCCATCTTGGAGGTCATCTTGGGTTTTCCCAGGCGCTCTTGCAATCATCTTAATCAGTGCCCCCCCCAGGAGGCCAACATGTGGCTAAAACCTTCGTAGAATCAATGATTTGGCATTCTCGCCGAGGCCTCTTGGAGCATCTTGGGTGCCTCTGGGGGGTCTGTTGGGGCCTCTTGGGGGTCTCTTGGGAGCCTCTTGGGGGCATCCTGGGGGCCTCTTGGGGCTTCCTGGCCACCTCTTGGAGCCCTCTTGGGGCACCCTTGGGAGCCTTAGGGGCCATCTGTGGGCCATCTTGGGTGAGGTCGATCACAGGAGGGGGGTGTCTATTTGCAGCCCCCCCCTTCCCAGGAGGCCAAAATGGGGCCAAAACCTTAGTAAGACCAATGATTTGGGTTTCCTCGCCGAGGCCGTTTTGGACGCTCCGACACCTCGCGGAGCCCCTTGTCCAGGTCCAGGGGGGGGGGGGCAGGGGGAGGGGGTGGGGGGAGGGTTAAACCGTTCCCAGAAGGGGAAGAAGGTGGGGTGGAAGAGGAAACTCCTTCAACCACCGACGCCAAGAGGGCTGGTGGGATTTGTTTTGAGAGGGTTTGGGCATCTTGGGACATTCTTGGGAGGCTCCGTGGCCATGTGGGGCAGCCTTGAAGCGGTCGTGGGGCCTCTTGGAGGGATGCGGGAGCCTATCTCGCTCAATCTCGCGCTCTGTTGTGCCATCCCGAGGGCCTTCCTGGGCTGCCTGGGGCAGTCTTGGGGCCATCGTGGGCCATCTTGGACGCTCTGGCCACTCGCGGGACGGCCCGTCCAGACCCAGGCCAGGGGTAGGGGGGAGGGGCTAAGTTCCCAGGTGGTGCGCTACAAGCTGCCTCGCTCACTCCCACCTGCCCTCTCACCATATGAGACATTCCTGAAACGGGAGAGGGAAACAATTCGCACACACACACACACACACACACACACACACACACCCTGCCCCCAAAAACTCAGAGTTGGCACGCGCGGGGGAGACTGCGGTCGAGGTGCAACTCATCAGACCCACCGCCAACCCGAAAGGAGATGAGAACGTTTTTTTTGTGGGTTCAGGGCTTCCGCCATATATTCAGCATCAGAGTTTCAGCATGCGCAGAAGTTGCCGTCGGATTGGCAGCCAGCGCAGCCCAGGCCAGACGCCAGGTCGGCGGCGCTCGCGGGGTGCGCCACGCGCGCCGGGTGCGCCAGGTGGCCTAGGGGCCCAAGCGTGCCAGGCGCACCTGGTGCTCCAGGTGCGCCGCGTGTGCCAACATGTGCCGCGTGCTCCAGCGGCGCCAGGTGCGCCGCGTGTGCTACGCGCGATAGTCAGGAGCGAAAGAAGGACGTACACGTACATGAATTCACGCTGGTTTCGAGAGTTCGCATTGCGCGAATGTTCGTGTCACGCGGCTGGTCTCGCGTTTCAAGGGACCGTGTTCATGTACATAGCTGGGCGCGTACGTCCTTTGTGGGCTCCCTAGATAGAGCGCCATGCAGCGGCATGGGTGCCCGTGCAGGTGTCAGCGCACATCGGGTAAGATGTCGACCCCCCCCCCTCCTCCGTCTTTGAGATCAGCCCGTGCGGAATGGCGGCGGCATGGTCAGCATGGTGTACGGTGTGCGAGCCCGCAGCGAGTTCGCATGTTTGACCACACAGCCACCATCCCCGCCAAAAGCAAAAGCAACGTAGCAGCGAAGTGCGCTCTCATGATCTAGATGTTGCCCCCACGTGCACGTTCTACTGCATATTGACAGGGGTTGCGGGTGGGTGGGTTCGTTGTTCCGGATTGGCGGCCAGTCGAGTGGGGTAAGGGCGGCTACTATCAAAGCGCAGTGGTGAAGCCCTCCCCGAAGGGGAAGACCGGCATCCGAAGAAGGAACGCTCCAAACCACTTCCGTCCAGATGGATGGAGAATTTGTTCTTCGTGGCGAAAGCCCGATTTCACAAAAGACCCGCCCTCCAGTGCATCGGTCAGAGATGGCACGCTACAGTGGGGACCCATGCCAGGAAACAGGGTGCCCTGGGTTGTTTGGGTTTCGATGGTTTTGCGACGGAAAGCGTGACGTGCCCATGCCAACAATCAGTGGACGCCCTGGGTCTCAGGGTTGGGTTCCTCGTGGAAGGTTTCTTGTGGTCGAGCTCCTACTGTACAGAGGGAGGAGTGTTGGAGGGGAGCGAGGAGGATCGAGGAGGAGCGCTGCTCGGCACTGCGCGCTCCCAGCAGGACCGAATCATGCCGTGTGCCCGACGGGCCTACTGCCGTTCAGAAGTTCGAGGCGAGATGAGTCAAGGTTCTGAAGGCAGCGCCGCAGGCCTGACTTTCCTGTGCAACTCGCCGTGCATGCCCGCTCGAGTCGAGTGTCTGCGTCATCGTGCGAGTTGCTCGAACCAGAGAGGAGGGCCGTGCGGGACTCTGTCCAGGTGGGCCACCTCGAGGGAAGTCTTCGGGCTGGATGGAGAGCCGCTGACAACTTTCGCGATGCTGGCGCGCCAGCTCGGCATCGCTCGGACGCACGCACTCGTCCTGGCGAGGCCAGCGCTCATCTGGACCCTCCTGGAGCATCTTGGAGCACCTCGTGGTGAGAAGCACGCACGAGACCGGACAATGCACGGGGGATGGACGCCCGAGCGGTGGCAAGCGAGTAGTCGTGAGGTGTCTCCTCAGTCCCACCCTCCTCCTCCTCCTCCTCCTCCTCCTCCTCCTCCTCCTCCTCCTCCTCCCCCTCCTCCTCCCACTCCCCCTCCTCCTCCTCCTCCTCCTCCTCCTCCTCCTCCTCCTCCTCCTCCTCCTACCTCCCTCCTCCTCCTCCTCCTCCTCCTTCTCCTCCTCCTCCTCCTCCTCCTCCTCCTCCTCCTCCTCCTCCTCCTCCTCCTCCTCCTCCACTCCCCTCCTCCTCCTCCTCCTCCTCCTCCTCCTCCTCCTCCTCCTCCCCCTCCTCCTCCTCCTCCCCTCCTCCTCCTCCTCCTCCTCTCCTCCTCCTCCTCCTTCCTCCTCCTCCTCCTCCTCCTCCTCCTCCTTCTCCTCCTCCTCCTCCTCCCCCTCCTCCTTCCCCTCCTCCTCCCCATGGGCTGCCCCTGCGCGTCAAGCTGGCCACGACGGCCCACGGTTGCTGACCTGCCACTCCTGGGCAGCGCGCGAGTTGTAAACGGTGCGCAGGCGACTTCGTGGAGCGTCTTCGTTTGGTGTCGTCTCGCAGCAGCAGCGAACAGCGAAAACAGAACCAGGAGAAACGTCAGCGGCACGAGCACGGAGCAAGCACCGTTTCGCTCGAGCCTCGCCCTGGGGCCCGTCATGCCCCGATGGCCCGACGCAGGAAGCCGGGCGCGAGGCCGTGGGAGTACCCCGGGGAGTGGCCCCAGGTGGGGGCGCAGCTGCACGTGGTCGACATGGTCCTGGCCTACCTGCTGCCATTCGGCGGCGAGCCCCGGGGGGACTCGAGGTTCGAGGCCTTTGGGCCCTCAAGGTTCGAGGTTTTCGGCTCTCAGGGGTCTTCCAGCACCAGGATGCTCTCCAGCAGCTGCGCCTCGCCGGAGCGTTGCAGGGGTGCTCCGATCGTCCAGATCGGCCAGCGGTGACCGGAGCTATAACCGGAAAACCACCAGGCGTCCGAGAGGGGGCATGCTTTTTCAGAAGGCGGCGGGGCTTCCAGAAGCCCTCGCGCCTCCTGAGAAGCCATCTACGCATTGTCCGAGATAGAGACGGCTTCTCAGAAGCGCCCTGGCCCGCCTATAGGCCCACCAACGAATATTATAAGAACCTAGTAGTCTCCACGACATGTTCTTAGAACATTTCTGGCTGAGACCGTCTTGTCTTTTCGGGTCTACGTTCTAAAAACATTGTTTTGGCCCTTGGACCATTTCTGGGTTCTGATAAACATCTCGTGATAGGCCTATAGGGGTGCCCGGACGGTCGGCCTCTGCTCAACAGGAGGCCGGGGGGCTTCTGAGAAACCTGGCCCTAAGTCGGGCACGTCTCTTTTCAGGAGGAGTCTTCACACATACGGTGGCGGCGTTTGTTAAGGGGTAGTCCCAGGAGGCTCCAGACCCTGGAGGATTACTTATCCAATGAGGGCGGCGATGATATCCATGGCCGATCCACGATTGGAGTTCCACTGGCTTCCAGACTCTGGATTCCTTATCTGAGGGTTACTTATCCAATGCCCACACCGTAGTCGAAACATAGTCGTATTGGGACGACTTTCTGATTATTTCTGAGTATGTTTCGACTCTGCCTTCTTTCCCGCCCAGAATCCGCCTGTCTCGCAAGAGAGAGAGCTATTCTGGCTAGCCGCGGTGCCGCGGTACCGGCTTCCTCTATGTGGGCGCGTTCAGGACCATTGGTCCCGCGACATATATGTAAATGTGAGCGCAGATGTGCATGTTTATACACACTCGCTGGTCGTTGAAAGTAGGTAATTCTGGATTTCCAGATCCCAATCTACTTCAAGCGCTTTCCCACTTATAGAACCGATACGTTTTTTCTGTGGTTTCTTGTTCTCTGGGAGGTCCTGAACCCCATCTACTTGATCCGCCTTCCTACTTCATTTCTTTACCTGCTTCTTCCGACCGGCGTGTACCCCTGCCCGACCCAAGCCTGGCCGCCTGCTGAGCGGGCCGGGCCCCCCCGCTCGCCCTCCCCGCTCCCCGGGGCTCTCGCCGCCGCGCCGTGCGCGCTCCTGCTGCCGGGGGGGCTGCCGCCGGAGGTCGCCGACCTGTTCTTCTCGGGCGGGTGGCAGCGGGAGGCGGCCCAAGGTCGGGCGAGCGCAGTCATGGATCAAAGGGGGCGTGGGTTGGCGACGGGTCCCGTTCCCCTGGGAAGTCGCGGGTTCCGAAGTGGGCGGCGCCGGCCGCAATTTGGGGGAGGGCACCTCCCCCGATCCAGGTCTGCGCGTCCCCGACAGAGGGCGGGTGAAGAGGAGGGCCCCTATAGGGGGCCCTTTGGGGCCCCTTTCGGAGCCAGTTGGTGCCCGAACGGGGCCCTATGGAGAGCCCCGGTTGGGGCCCCTGTCTTCCCCGCCCCCGTTGTGGGTCAACCCCCAGGACCACCCGCCCGACCTTTTGGAGCGGTGCGGGCCAGCTAGCGGTGCACGCGCTGCTGGTCCAGCTCCCGGTCATCGGTGTCACCCCAACATACAGTCAACCCGCATAGTAAGGATGGGCAGCCTGCACAAGGGTACCCTTACATCCTTGCCCCTTCGGCCCATCCTTAGCGACTTCCGCTGGGCAGCTTCGTTCGAAAACACGTCGGCATGGCGCCCCGAGGCCCTTGCATCCTTACCGCGCATCCTCACTATACGGGTCGACTGTGCTACAACGATGTGTGCGACCCCCCCCCCCCAAAGGGGCGCCGCGCGCACCGAGAAGTCTTGTAGTGTGTGCTTCGTGGCGGGCGCTTCTTGGCCACATCGCTCGGGAAGCAATGCATATACTACAACATGGGTGTACCACGTGGGGCGTCTCGAAACGGGCCTTGCCTTCGAGGATCGAAAGGGTTTCCATCTCTCCCGCCGCGGAAGGCGGCGGAAGAGCGGCGGAAGGTCGGCGGAAGTAAAACGAGGCCGCCTCCGCCGGCGGAAGCCGGCGAAAACTCAGCGGAGGGCGACGGAAGAAAAAGATGCGCCCCCAGGAGACGAAGACGTTCTCGGGTTCGGGGTGTTTCGGTATCGGCCATATGTTCGGGTCGGGCGCACGCCTTCCAGAAGAACACCTACCCAGAGATCCGATGTCGTGATTTTTTCAATGCGGGGTCCCTGGAAGTTTCGACCCATTCCCTAGGACGGGTTTTTCATCCTGAGTCGTTTTTTGCCGGTCCCGGGGCCCGGCGAGGGCCCCTCGAGGCCGAAACATATGAAAAAATTGCGTCTTGATTTTTTCAATACGTTGGATCTCTGGGTAGTACTGGTATGTCTCTGAGCGTTCCAGGTCATGGTGTTCGACCGGATGGCGTACAACGACCTGGGTTGGCCCCTCTGCCTCTTGCTGCTCGGGCTGCACGGGGCCTGCCTCGGCCCGGGCGCCTGGAGGCGGAGGCTGGGCATGGGCGGCTGCTACGTGCTGCACGGTCTTCGCATGGCGGTCGACGCCGTCTGTAGCCTCGGCGGGATGACTCGGCAGCAAATCGTGGGAGCCTGGTTTGCCCCCTCAATTCCGTCTCTAGCGTCGATCAGCGTCGATTTGCGTCTGGGAGCCGATGAGATGGCGCCGATTTAGCGTCGTTGAGCTTCGAGTTGGCGTCGATTAGCGCCGACAGGCATCGATTCGCAGGATCCAGCAAGTTGTTATGGTAGGCTCCCATGAGTTGGCACCGAAGGATGACTGGCTGGACGTTCATCTTCGAGGAGGACTTGGCCAGGTACCAGTACGCTCGGGAGAGCTGGGTCGTTTTCCACCAGCAGCCTCCTGAGAAGTGGTGGGCCAAGCGGCAGTGGGACAGCTTCCAGCAGGGAATGTCCACAATCTGCGGGCTTGCGGTGCCCATGCTGCTCAGCGCGTGGAACCCGACCGAGCATCTGCACCCCCTTGAGCTGCTCGGCTGGGGGCTCTGGATCTCGTTCTGGGCGCTCGAGAACCTGGCGGACCGCCAGAAGCGCCTCTTCCTGCTGGAGTGCCGGAGGCTGGACGCCGTGTCCGTGACCGAGGCGGAGCGCGAGGAGCTCCGGGCCGCCACGCTGGGCATGTCGCCCTGGGACGGGTCGGAGTTCTGGCTCTGGACCCGGTGCCGGCACCCCAACTACTTTGGCGAGTGGATGTGCTGGGTCAGTCTGTCCCTCGCCGCGGTGCCGTCCCTGGTCGCTCTCGCCAGTCGGGGGTGCGCCAGCTGGAGGGCCAGCGGCACAGCCTGCCCCGATCGTCCCGTCCTCTCCGGGGTGTGCTCGATCGCCGGCTGCGGCCCCGCCCGTCCTGCCACAGAGCTGCAGGGGAGGAGGAGGAGAGCAGCTCGCTTCTCGCCAGCGCTCCAAGGGATGAAGAGGGGTACCAGCCTGCAGCCTAGGATGGTATGAATTCATATTGAACTTGAGGGATGGGGCAAAACGGGAAGGATGGGGCAGGATCAGTCCGCGGGGGGGAGTGGTAGATCCGACTTCTTGAAGAGATCTATGCTGTACAATCCACCAAGGTTCAACTTGAAGTTGTTAACTACACTGCTCGCGCAATCATCCCACCCACCCACCCGCAACCTGGTTTGCAAAACCCATGCGGCGGCGATTGTGATGAATGCTTGGTGTTGGCTTGTGCGTACCTGTCGCCACGCTAGCCCGCGCATGCCAGCTAGTTTGGCGCGGCCGACGCGGCCGCGGTGGCGCTGCCCTCTGGGCCTTTCCCAGCGGTCACTTCAATGCGAGTCTGCGACTTGGGCGGGCGCGGTGTCATGGCAACGTCGACAACGGTGGGCACGATGATGATAGTAGCGGAGCTGGTGACGATGATGACGGTGGCGACGGCAAAGCCCATGACTGCGGCGATGCTGATCACGCCAACTACGATGACGGCGCTTTCGCGTCGGTGCTGAAGGTTTTGGAAGGCGTTCGATATGCGCGCGCGGCCCACGCGCGAAAGTGGCCCGCATGGAATTATTTGACACGGACCGTGCCCCCCCCCACCCCCTAGCACGCGCGCAAGGGCGTCTGAATGATTACGACATGCGGCGCGAGCGGCTTATTTGATACAGTTTCATTGTTTTCATACCAATGGCTCCATGAACGTTGAAATTTGCATGGTTTCCAAACCATGCGCTCGTGCGCGATCGACTTTGGTTGTTTTGAAACTGGTGTTGCGAAACCATTTTTATACGTTGTCGAAACACGCGGTTGTAACATCCTTACGGAACGTAGGGTTTTGAAACATGTCGGCATGCGCCCGCGACGACGCGCGCGTGCGCACTCCGTCCCGCTTTTGCCCGGGATTCTTGCGACCGCACGCGCGCAAAGGGCGGCCGAACAATTTCGGCACGCGCGCGCGAGAGGCCCGTTTGGCAGCAATTGATGAACATGTAGGAACACCAATCGACTACTTTAGAATTCGCAGAAGCGCGGATGCAAGTTGATTGAACATTTCTTGTTGCGACATCATGTGGTATATGTCTTCGTGGCACACAATGTGGGAACCGCTACGCAACCGAAGGCTTGTTTGAAAGAGTTCGGCAAGCGCGAGCCGACGCTCAGATGTGCATATCGTCACGTTTTTTGTTGCAACGGGTTTTTGAAAATTAATGAGTTTTGAGAAACGAGTGTGCGCTCATAGTACTAGCTACAGAGGATAAAAAGGGAGCGATACTGGCTTGGCTGGAATGGTATTAGTTCATATGTGCGATGGACGAAGGGTCAGGACCATATATGAAATTCCAATCGAAAAAGGGGTGGCATAACCCCGTGGGGAGGGGGGGATCTCAATATTTTTTGGCAGGGCGATTCTAGGCGGCGACGGGGCGGCGACGAGGCGGTGACGGCGACCACGCAGACACCAGACCGCCACCCAGGCCTAGACGACGAGCGGCGACGAGACGGCGACTGCGACCACGGAGCCGCCAGACCGCCCCCCAGGCCCAGACGACTGGCGCCGACGAGGCGGCGACGGGGCGGCGACGGCGAGCACGGAACCGCCAAACCGCCACCCGGGCCCAGTTCTCGAAACGAGACGCAGGGTCCCCGAACTGCACACAAAACATATCACGTCGGAGCTCCGCGCGGATGTTCTGCGTCTGCTTTGGATGCACCTGGTGGCGCTTCCGCTGCCGCCCCAGGCGCGCTCTGCGCGCTCGCGATGGGGCCCCAGCTCCGGCCAACGAGGTCCGTGCTGAGCTCCGAAGGTTTCGGCGCAGAAGTTTGCAATCCTGCGTCTGTTTTTGGTTTTATTGGCGAGGAGGGAGTAGGCTAGGCGGAAGGACGAGGGAGGAGGGAGGAACCAGCGTGGGAGCGAGTGTGGGAAGCGTGATGGGTGGGTGCAAGGAGGACGAGCGACGAGCCCCATTCTGCTCCTTCCTCCCTCTTTCCCTTCCTCCTTCCCACTGCGTCTTTCTCTTTTTCTCCGACTTGCTCACCCACCCTTCCTCCAGAAAGACGGGGCACTCAGAGGAGGGGCCCCTGAGGTCTGCGCACTGGCGCTCCTGCTGCTGCACACGCCGCGGATGTTTTACGACTGCCTGGTGCACTGGACGGGGGCGGCCGCGGCGGAGCACTTCTCCGTGCGGAAGCGGCCCGCCTACCGCGAGTACCAGCGCACCGTGCGGTGCTTCTTCCCCGTGGAGGTCCCCTTCGTCGACCACCACCGCCAGGCTGGCTGGCCGCGTCCTGCCGCGAGCGACAAGGCTCCGCCACGAAGGAATCGGGCCCCGAGGGAACGCGGTCCCCAGGCCCCGTGAAGGCCCGGGAGGCCACGCGTTGGCGATGCCACGCGTGGCGCGGCCCACACCCTCGAGATCCGACGTGCAGCGGAAAGTCGCAGCAGCGTAGGAGATCACGCCTGGAGCCCTAGGCCCCCGCTTGCTGCGCCACCCGTCGAGCCGGACACCGATCTGTGAAGGTCCCCCCGGGCCCGAAAAACGGAGCGAGAGCGCCCGTGGCGACAGCATCGCAAAGCGCCAGGATCTCCGGGCGGGCTTAAGCGCCAAAAAAGCGGAGCTCCGCTCTGGGGCCGCTCGGTCCTTTCCTGCGGCCGCCGGGCGGTTGCTCTCCGAGCCGGAGGCTTTCCCCGCCGGTCCCCGGGCCCGAAGGCGGCCGCCTTCTGCCCTCGGGCTCCGCCCGGCGCCCACCTCTCGCGCCGGGGCCTCCTGCTCTTGCGGCGCTGGGTGTAGGTCGGGCCTGTCCGTCTGCAGGGAGAATGTTCAGAAGTAGCCGAGCAACAGTCTGGGGACTACTATGTGACTAGGTTTGAGCATTTGGGGGGTGTCTTTTGAGTGGTTTTCGTTTCTCGCCCAAAGTCCCCCTGTATGGGGGACATGCCCGACCTAACTCTGGGGCTGGTTGAGGGCCCCGGGCGCCCGAGGATGACCCGGAGATCCACCAGCGCATTGACAAGAATCACGACGGAGGCTCTTTGCAATTTCCGGCCTATCCAGGGGCCGTCGCCGGGCCCCGGGACGGTCAAACAACGACTCGGGATCAAGAGCCGGACTTGCAGGTGGAATGGTTCGAGACTTCCGGGGACCCCGTACAGGAAACATCACAACATCGGATCTCTGGGTGCGGAGCCCGATCTTCTCCACGCCGAGGCATCGCCGATGCATCGCCCACGTCGACGAGGCATCGCCTAGGCATCACCGATGCGTCGCCCGTGCATCGCCGACGTATCGGCGGTGCGGCGCGATCCTCCGACTCCCTCCACTCGGAGGAGGAGGAGGAGGAGGAGGAGGTATCCTGGGCGCCCCCCTGCGGGACGCCCCGGGGCCGGAGAGCGAGGAGGGGACCCTCCAGGAACTGTTCCCTCGGGGACCCCTGCCCTTCACGTATAGGCGGGCGTGTCCTGCTGCAGGAGGAGTATTCGAAAATAGGAAAAGGTAGTCAGGGGACGATGCTTCTTCTTTTTTGGACTATGTTTGAGCATCGATCTTTTGGTTATGTTATATTTGTCGTCCAAACAGGAGGGCACGCCCGACCTAACCCTTTGCGGAGGGTGCGCCTGATGCGCCCGCCGGAGACGTGCCGGCCAGCGAGAGCTTCGGGCGACCGACCGACGACGCCTTGTGACCTCGGAGGGCCTCGGTGTACACACCACGTCGTTTGGTCTGCCAAGGAGCCGATGGGATCAGCGAATAATTTCGGTGCATGGTGGGGGAGTTGATTCAGGAATGTGCCCAGCAGGCTTCAGACCTTACACAGGAATGAACATCCCTTATCCAGTGGGGACGTTGGTGATACCCATCGTCGATCCACGATTGGAATTCCACCAGCTGCCAGACCCTGGATTCCTTCTCCACTGGTTCCTTGTCCAACGCCTTCATTGTATAGACGCTCCAGCATCCCACGTGTTGTGAAGCTGGGGGCCGTTCACATAATGGTAACACCCTAATGATTCAGAGAGGACCCATCCCGTCCTCTCTCAGGGGGGTACAACGGCGCTCCCGGTGGCGGAGGATGCATTATCCTTGCCCATATCAGCATTGTGACCCCCAGCCGGCGTTTCGGTTGTTGCTGCCTATAACGGTTCGCATGAAATAGGGTAGAGCAGCTTCGGTGATCTTGGACCGCGACATCTTTTGTTCCATGCCCCAGAGAGGTTCTTGTTGGCCCTTGGACCCACATTGCACCGAGCCCCTTGGCCGACCAGAAGACGGCTTGGTGCGATCCGACGGCGCGGGCAAATCGAAACTTGGAACGACTCACGGCCGCAACCTTATGATAGACACCCATCGTTCGGCACTCTTCGAGCCAGATGGATCTGTGAGGTCCCTGGGGGCCCAACGCCGGGCGGCAACGCCCTCGGCTCGTCGCCCTCTGGGCGGGCGCCAGTGGGGGCATGTGAAGACAAGGGGCCCTGGAGGGGGGCCCTGGAGGGCCCCCGCCGGCTCCGCAAGGGGCCCTGCAAGGGCCCCTTTTCGGGCTCTTCTCTTCGCCCCCCATGCCCTCCCCCCCCAGTCAAGCAGTAGCGAAGCGTCCTGGCTCGCCTAGAGCCCTGCCAAACAATGTTCTGAGAACCTTTTGTGGTTTGCACGAGATGTTCTTAGAGCATTTCTTGCGGAGCCTGTCTTGTTGTATCACATCGGGTTAGTGTTCTAGCTAAGAACATTGTTCCCTACCTAGGCTCTGCCTAGAAGGGTTCTTACTGTCTTAGCTTAAAGGGGCCGGGCAGTGCAAAGCGCCCCAGGCGGTTCCACTGGTCCCCTGGGAGCCAAGCAAAAGCAACAGCAAAGGTAAAAGCAAACGCGCGGTTCCCCCAGTTGCGCTCCCTGGGTGCCAAGCAAAAGCAAAAGCAAAAGAGAAGGCAAAAGCGAAGGCAAAGCAAAAGCATAGCATAGCATAGCACAGCACAGCACAGCATAGCATAGCATAGCATAGCGCAGCATAGCATAGCATAGCCTAGCCTAGCCTAGCCAAGCATAGCATTGGGCAGCATAGCGTTGCGCAGCATAGCATAGCATAGCAAAGCAGAGCAGAGTATAGCATAACATAGCATAGCATAGCATAGCATAGCATAATATCCAACTCCTAGGTAGGGCCGCACTGGGATAATTTGTGTGTTTCGAATATATTGGGGTTCTAAGAAAAATTCTTGGTAGGACTATAGGAATGCCGGGGCGATCGGTCCCTGCTCAACTCTTTCGGCACTCCTCGAGCCGGATGGATCTGCGCGGGCACCCCGGGGGCCCGAAGCCGCCAAAGGCCACGCGGATCATGCCGACTTCGGCGGTCGCACCTATAGAGGGAGCGAGAAGGAGAAGAGCCACGGGCATATTGTGCGATTCCCAGACAGGCGGCGCCCTGTTCTCTTCAGGACGGCGTCCCTGGAAGTCCCGGCCCTCTTTTCCCCGGGACCGGTTTTTCGTCCCGATTCTTGTTATGACGGCCCCGGGGCCCGGCGGAGCCCCCCCCCGGGGGCCGAAGATAGCCCCCAGCTGGCCGCCCCGATTGCTTTACGACGCGATCTCATGTCTGGGCTCGCACCTCAGATCTGGTCGAGGGGCGGCACCGCCTGGCTTGACGCCGTATAGGACCCCAGACCACCCCGATGCCCTCCCCACGACCGCCCCTCTGCCGCCCGCGGCAGAGGGCCGCCGCGGGCCCCGGGCCGCCCCCCGTCGCCGCCGCGGCCGGCGGGCCCAGGCTGCACGGGCCCTCCACGCGGGGCGGCCGCGGCGGCCGCGGCGGGGCGCCGAGCGGCCCGGCGGCGGGCGCGCGCCGAGGCGGCCTTTCGCCGCGCGCGCGGGGCGCGGGAGGCGAGGGCAGCGGCAGGGGGCAGGGGCATGCCCGGGGCGCGGCGGAGAGCGCCGACCCTAATAGGGGCGGCGCCGGAGCCTGAGAGCCGGGCGCTGCCACTGATGCTGCTCCCGCCGGGCGCTCTTGCTCGCCCTGCGAGGGCCCCCGAGGCGGAGCGAGAAAGGGCGCAGGGAGGTGAGCGCTGCAGGGCTCCGGTCGCGATTTCTGGCGGTGTCGTGCTAAGTCGGGCACGTCCCTGTGCAGGAGGAATCTTCCAAGATAGTGTAACGCTGTCGGGCACGTATTTTGTTGTGTATATTTACACATGTACATCAAGGTGTATACATATTTATATATGTATATAGGAATATTTTCATTTTTCGCCTCCTGTAGGGGGACATGCCCGATCTACGCGTCGTGCCTTTTTGTCGCAGCGTCGGATCTCAGGGGGGGGGGCCCTCGCCGCGGTGTGGCCGCCCTGGGAGGTCGGGGTATGGGCGGCCGGCCTCGAGGGAGGCCGTGCGCCGCGCGGGGGAGCGGGCCAGTGCCCCCGTGCGCGCGGGGAGGAGTGCCGGGTCACGGGCATGTCCCCCATACAGGGGGATCTGTGGGCGAGAAAATAAAAATTCGGCAAACATACTTTTTCGGTGGCGTCCACAAGCGAAGGCGCAAGCGGAGTCAGGAGCGCTACGGGTCACGACAGCGGCCTAATTAGCAGCTAGACGCGCCGCAAGCCGGCCGGCCCACTCATACAGCAGCGGCTGACTGCGCGGGAGAGGCTGCAAGCAGGGGGCGTCCAGGGTACTCGAGCACTTGCAACACGGCAAAGTGCTATCATAAAAAATACGCAGAACATGCAAACAAGTACGGAAGAAATCGTACCCGACTCTTTTTTTTACTGTTCTGGCATTTTCCTCCTGTAGAGGGACGTGCCCGACGCAAGAGGGGTGCCAGGTCACAGGCAGGGCTTTCCTTGCGGCGGTCGAGGCGGGCTCGTTCGTCGGGCGTCATCGTCGCCGTCATCGTCATCGTCGATACATCCTCATCCGGACGGCCGGTTTTTGGGGATTTTCGGGCCGGGGGGGCCCTCGCCGGGCCCCGGGGCCGTCAAGCACTACTCGGGACGAAAAACTGGTTCCGGGGAAATGGTCGGGACTGCCAGGGACGCCGTCCTGAAAAAAAAATGTCTTTGCTGTCATTTGTTGTTGCTCTTGTTGTAGCTGCTATAGCTAAAACCGTAGGAAAGTCCCGCCACTGGAAAACCCTAGAATGTCTCATGGGGCAGCCATGGGACATTGAAGGGCTGTCCGTTGTTGGATTTTTATACATTTGAACCCGTCTGCGATGCGACATTTAAGGGGCTGTGGCGGAGCGGCCCTTGACCACATTCCAAGGGTAAACGCGCGCGCCATCAGAGAAGAACACATACATTGCACCGTTTAGATTTGCACCATGTCGATTGTAACACGTTAATTTGCGCACCACCGATATTGCACAACATGGATTGCACTTCGAATCTGGCACCATACCTTCAACTTCTTGGCATCAGCAACTAGGCGAAACAGGGCTAAGGGCTGGTGGGTGCGGACATGCGGGTAGTTAAAAGATCGTGAGAAGACATGGTTCGTAGCCCCGGGGGCCCGTGCGCATACTGCACCGCATACATAGCACAATCTGCGCTGCACCAGGTCAGTTGCCCTTCGTCGATTGTACTCGATAACGTTGTCCACCTCGCAGCCTGCACCACCTCTGTGACATCACTCAGATAGCCCCACGTAGAGTTCACACCGCAGCTTGCTAGGCGCACACAGTTTTGGGGCCCACGCTGGCCCACAATTGGTCTCGCGTGGATCTGGCGCGACTGTTCCAGTGAGAGCTCTGGCCCAGGGAATGGCCGGATCCCTGGTTCCTGATTCCAGCATGGACCGCGATCCCGGTCGGAAAGGGTGGTTGCCAGATAGAACGCCAAATGTCTGGAGGGCGAGAATGGCTGCATCCCTAATTTCTAATCCCCGGAATGGAATGCGATCCTTGTCGGAGGGGGGTTGGGGGCAACGCGCGCGCGCGTTCCCGGCAGTTTTCTGGATTCACAGTTTTATAGTTGTTGTTGCCAAGCAAATAGACATGTGGTTCGTATTCGAGGTGTAACCCATGTTGTGCAATGCTATATATACATCTATCAGAATACCGGCATGAATACACACGCTCGGTCTTGACATTGTTACGACAACGCAGGTGCTTGACGGCTTTTGACATGCGCGCGCGACGACGCGCGCCCGTGCACTTCGTCCCCTGTGTTGCAAAGGGTTCTCGCGACGGCACGCGTGCAAGGGCGTTCGACTGATTTCGACATGCGCGCGCGTGACGCCCAGTTGGTAGCATGCGATCAACCTGTTGCGAAACCTGTTGATTTTTTGTCGTACGAATTCGAAAAGAGCGCGCCTGTTTTTGATGTATACGTAAAATTCCCGTCGCGAAGCCATGCGTGTTTTTTTGGATACTCGATTTTGACATATATATATATATATATATATACGCCACCGAGAATTGTCGATGGATTTCGGCATGCGCGCGCGACGACGCGCGCGTGTGCACTTCATCTTTTTGGGCAAGGGATTCATGACAACTGATGGTTTCTGATAAGCGAGTGCGCGCGCATAGGATATGTCGCCGAGGATGACGGGGGGTCGATACCGGCCTGGCTGGGATGGTACGAGCTTATATTTAGGATGGGCAATGGGGCAGAATCATAATTGATTTGGAATACGAAAAGTGGTGTCGATAATCCCAAAGGGAATGGAGTCTATTGCCTTTTTAGAAAGGAGAATTTATGT